ATTACATTGTCGTGGCTGTCTTGGGTGAGAATTCAATATGCTATGTGTTCATAAAATTATGATGTCAAATCCCTTTGAAAGCCTATGGCCACTGACACATGATCTCAAGACATGCCTACCCTGCTCTACATAGGTGAACTACGTGGCTGTAGTGTTTACCAGCTTGATGACTTGGTGGCATGGGATTCTTACACTTTACGCAGAGGATCCTCTTGGCCACACTAGGAGCAATACAACTGCTGGTATATTTCATCGGGGACAGCAGACCTGTCGGCACGTCACCTGTACAATCCTTTCTCCTTTGCGGGGGGGGGGGGGGGGGGGGGTTAAGACTGGGATAAATTATTTAAAATATTGTTTTTGTTTTGGTATGTGTTTTACGGCGATTGCAATTACATTATGTCATATGAACGCACGGGGCACATTAAACATTTTTACTTCGGTAGGAATAAATTCTGAATTTTGTTGATTTTGGACCACTACGGGATCTCTAACGTGTGCAACTTGTACACGGGACCCTTGCGATTTTTCACCCTCACCAGAGAAGGCTATATGCTAAATCTTAACTACCCTAAGATCAGGAGTGTGGTTGAAAGACAGCAGTAAGAAGGAGCCAAGTAGCAGTGGAACGGTTGCAATAAAAAAAAGTCAGGAGCTCAGACGAGTGGGCAATGGTGGAGTGGAGACGACAGAAAATGGTTAGAGTGCAGGAAAGAAGGTGAAAGAAGACAATTTTAGAGAAGATAATTTCCCGTCTCTGTCAGGTTTCGAACCGGGAACCTATTGAATTAGAGGCAGAAACGTAACTTCTAGACCACGTGAGCCTCCTATGCAATATTTAATTCATTATTGTCTCATATAGAGCGATTTGTAGACTAGGACACTAAAAATCATTCATTGTACCGATCCTGTACATGCATTAAAAGAGCGGTGTTTAATATTGAGCACAAATAAAAATAACGTTATTACCGGATAAAGATTGTTTTAAAAAGCTTGTTTTGTTGCTGGCCCACTGGTCCACAGGAGCGCCTAGCAAATTTATGTTCACATTGTGGCAAATTAATAAATGAGCTACATTAAACAATGTTCACGTGGACATTCAAAAGTGAGCAAGCTATAAATAATATGTTTCATTCTAACTACTTACACGTCTCCCGCCCCCCCCCCCCCCCCCCTCCACGCCAGTTAGTGCATCCAAGCACGACAAAAGAGTGCACCATTGTTATTTCTACAGTTACACTCTCAGTATATCCCTATTGGTACATGTACTTCACTATAATGTTTTTACTGGCGCACTCATTATAACCTAAAAAGTCAGACTTGGAAAAAATATGCGTAATCAAAGAATGTTAAGGGTGTGTCGGTGTGTTTATTGAGGTGCATCAACATTGGCAATGACAGTGACAATGACTATCTTTATTCATCTCACAGGGAGAAATTTGTCTTGGTCATTTACAATGGCAGTGGATGTTACAAAGGTAAGGTGGGCTCTCACATATACACAACAAGACAGGACATTAGTAAATGCATGTTTTACGTGTTGAAACAACCCGTTCCGTAAAGCATTCTCTCTCTCTCTCTCTCTCTCTCTCTCTCTCTCTCTCTCTCTCTCTCTCTCTCTCTCTCTCTCTCTCTCTCCCTCTCTCTCTCTCCCCCCTCTCTCTCTCTGTTTCATTCGTAGCACCGTGTGTTCAGTAACCTCACAACAGTCGGTACGAATGAAATACTATGTCTGTCTGTTCTTGCTTTCTTGGAAATGTATTGTTAACTGTGGGTGGAATGGACATGTATTGAATGTCAAATAAATGGAGAATATTATTGTCTCTGCAATGAGCAAAATCGTTTTCGATATTTTCAAACATATTGGAAAACAGAATTGTCTCAAACACCACGCAAAACCTGGACTTAACTTTTAAAGCGTTATTAGAATTTTGTTTAGAAGCCATAAGATAAGTAGGGCATGACTCCTTTGTGCGCATGCACTGTGTTAGTTAGACTTGCACATAATCATCTGTCACTGAGGAACAGAATCCAAGAAACTGCCATAATTTAGGTGGTCTGCCTGGAATGAACAAAACGGCAACCGTGAGAATCAATCAACAGTAAGCTTCGTTTAGAGCACTACGCCATGCAAGTTCTGGAACGTCACGTGTTACCCATATTTTTGTCGTGGTGTCATTCAAGTAGACATCTCCATGTACGACAAAGCATATTCTCACAGGGCCAGCATCTCCCGACAATTCTTGGAAAATCAAACCATACCAAATGGTGGAGTGGTCACAAGTAAATAGCCACGTTTCGAAATCTACTGATACGTTGAACCCGCGGCTTCCTCAGTCATGAGAAAGCCTAGGTTGAACCCCACGAAACAGAAGCTGAAGAATCACAGCTTGATACCCAATCGAGACAGTTCTGTTTGCAACTCTCTGTGACGTGGATGAATGAAATGACAAATGTGACACAGCGTGGTGGAATCAGGCTCTCGTCAATTTTTGGGCATGTAGAGTTATTGGTATCATCTTAAAGCTTGTTCACTTGTCCTTATTTGAATGAAAAAAATATCTTTTTATCTTGAATACAAGTCGAGATATTTGCGAATGAAGAAGGAGGGGGTGCCTGTTTTCAGAGGTAAAATTAGTGAGAAAATGGCCGAAAAAGAATAGTTATTTCCTTAACGTTAGAGTCCCCGGTAACTGAAAATTTACATTTTTTGTGCCTTTAATCAACATTTTAAAGAAAAACCCAGACAGAAATGAGTTCTTTAACGGGCATGAAAGGTGTTGAGCCAAAAAACAAAAATTTGATAAAAATTCACAAACCTACGGAAAAATTCAAGTTCTTCACTTTGATTATTTTGACGAGAGCCTGATTCCACCACGCTGCCTCACAAATACCAAAATGACCAAAATTTATCAGTCCATGACCAAAGGGTTCGTGCTCTAAACAAAACCAATGGTACCTCAACAAAATACTAACAAGCAGTGGCGAAGACTGACTTGTTTGACAGGGTAATCAAAGAGACACCATGAACGAAATACAGATAAAGTCATGTACAAAAAGTTTTCCCAGAACGGGAACATAATGAACAAAACTTCTTATTTCAAGGTGGAATCACTAAATTGTCAATGGAAACAAATCGTCAATACATATTGTATGTTGACCCATAAAAAACAATAAAAAAATTAATATCTCATTAATTAATTACTGTCCATACTTTAGGAAAAACATAGTTATAACATTTAAACAAGCTATAGAACTAATTATCTCAAGATGTTTAAACAGTAAATGTAACTAAAGATGTGAATACGCGAACAGGAGTCAAAGAAACAGAGATGACAATACTACAAAATGTATAATTAATTTGTTCTCGAATGTGGTTGTCTTTATTTAGCCTTTCGCAGCCAGAAGTCAATATATTCATGAAATGATATGATTATAGGGTGCTAAAAAGTAGAGGGACCCCCCCCCCCCAAAAAAAAAAAAAAAAAAAAAAAAAACCCAACTAAAAAATATAGCAGTCATGAGATTATTAGGAGTTTTTCCTCTCTTACCTTTGTGAGGTAGACTCAACCAGTTTAATTGTTAGCTTACACAATAATAGTTGATTGCGACTGCTTAAAAGAGTGGCCCAAAAATGGTGAATAGGATATTTATGAGGAAATGAAAGAGTTTTTAGTGTTTTGCACACTGCTTGTTGGTGATTTCCTGAACATCTTTTACCATTTAAATTTATCAGGCCATTTTCTATTAAGATCTACCGGTTAATTTGACTGCGTTAAGGAAGGAAAGCAGTGATTATTTGATTATGTAGACGTTTTGCACCTTCTGACGAGCACATTCAATATTAAGTCTAAATATTGCATGGTATTTGTCATTTCTCTTTTTTCCAATCTGTTTGAAACTATCGAAATAAAATAGCGTTTATTGCCGTAACAAAATTCTACTTTCATTTGATAAGCAATGTATATCCATTCCAACAATGTTGATTCACCTCAATGCACGCGCGGACACACTTTTAAGATTCTTTAGTTATGCAAATTTAGGGAAAATCTGACATAAAAAAGTTAATTTTAAGTGACTATAAGTCTGGTGACTGTCATGATAAATGAATTATTAATGTGCCAAATGATGCAGAATTTAATTAGCTTTATATTGGTAGGCTGCATGAGTGGGTAGTGCAAGATCTTAAAACAATAATTGTACGAATATGATTTCGAGTTTCTTTTAGACGGCACTGTATACCTAATTTTGCCACTTTCCCAACTACGATGTACTAGAGCGCTTTGAATTTAAATTAATAGTTTAAAATGTAAACACTTTTGCCTTCTTATTTCAAATATAGAACCCCCATACTCATTAAAAAAGTGTCTTCATATTTTCAGAAATAAAACTCTGACTTGCAATAAGAACTTTATAGATTCTCTCCCCATTATCTGACCTATCCAAGGCCCCCGTCCGTCTATGAACTCACACTTACACAAACCTGATCACCC